AAGTTTTGTTTCAATTGATGTGTTTCAAAAGGGAGTCACAGTAATGCTATACACAAATAGACAAGCAATAACAAGTTTGGTAGTTTACCATGTTTGGTCTTAGAAGCAGGTTATTTGGACAAAAGTTTTGTAAGGGTACTTGTATTTAGTACCTGTTTAGTTTTTTTAGGGAGTAGTAGATTAGTCCTAGTTCTGTCAGTGTGAAGCTAGAGTAAATAGTGATTAAAAATTCCAACATTCTGCTTTTACATCAGGTTGCAAGGTCTGTTTCTAGGCCAAGTAGGAGCTGACAATAGGCACTACACCTATTGCTGCAGAATCATCACATGCTATAAACAATACATCGCTTAGTAGAAAATTCAAGTTTCAGCAGCCATGTGTTATGGGCCCTATGAGATGCAAACACAGAGGCATGAATACTTAAACTGAGAACAAATCACATAAAACCAAGCTGATAATTAGTGAAGCCCATTACTGATGTATTCTCCTCTGCTTGACAAAATTGCAGTTTTTAAATAGTTTATCTTGGTAATGAGGATGAACTAAAGCGTAATTTTAAACAGGCTCTCATAGAAGAGTTCTTGTTTAAAATTACATGTGTGAAAAGTGATATAAAAATACTGGAATTAATTGCATTGCATATACAACATTTAAAGCTTGCCATGAGATGGTGTCTCTTACGGAACTGACACACACAACACACTCATGCATTGGGAAGGGGGAAAAAAAATAGAAAAGAACTAAGAAGGAAAAGCCCCCGGCAGCTGGAGATGCTTCCTTTACAGATTAAACAAAACAGCGGGCAGTTAGAGCATGATCTACCTCACTTAACAAAACAAAACCCCCAAAACCTCCACAAAACCAGAAACCCACACCCTGACTTTTTTAACCACCATTTCCAGGGAGCTGCTATAAGCCAGGCTAATTTGAAGTCTTTATCTAAGGGACAATATTTACCAGCTAAGTTGACCAACTTTAACAAGTATTTACCAAATTTATTTACCTTTTTTCTTCCCTTAAGGAAGATGGTTTAGCTTTGCTGAATTTTGAGAGGAGACATCCGTTCACCAATGCTGAGGTAAAGTCCTTGCCCAGACACACGTACGCCACTATGTGAAAGCCAAGTAAGACCCTTTCCGTTTGACTAGAACATTTAGCGCAATCCTTATTGTAGGTAACAGCATGTAAAAAGACACCAGGTTTTAAGTATTTTCTCCTGAAACAAAGCTGAGTTACTTAAAAATGACAGTTAGATTTTGAAATAAATATCTAATTAAGAAAAACTTAAAACTTTTAAAACCGTTGATGCTGTGACAGTGCAAACAGCATACAATTTATTGCTCAACTTCTGCATGGGTACATACATTAAGTACTTAAAAACCATTTTATACAGATTTTTTTTGTTAAAGCTCATGTAACAGCTGGGTGAAAATACAATGATATCAATGCTAAAACACTCTGTAATAAATACAATGGAAATGATAAACTAAGAACTGTCAGTTTGTGGAGGAGTAATTACACTTGTATAAACTAATTACAACTACAGACAAAGCTCTGAGGATGTGGTAGAGCCAGAAACCTACTACATAGTGTAAAGTACAACAAACGGCACCTGTTAACTCTAGGGTGCTGTTTAAAATCTGAAGCAACTGGAGCATGCTACATGAAGCTGTATGACGCATACTTATGATATAGAAGCAAAGCTTTTACTTCCATCAATGCAGCCAGTTTAAACGCACCAGAAGTTCAATACAGATGTAGTGTTGTAGAACAAGAATTTAAAAACGGCTTGTGTGCTCTGGACTTTAGTACAACACAAAAATTTGGTACAAATAAATCAGTTTAGGGAAACTGAAACTATGTGCAAAAAAAAAAATTAGAATACATACTGTACAAAGCACCATTACAAAACTCTTTACACCGAGAAATTAAATCCTCTGAAACTCAACTGTGTACTGTATATTTGAACTCTACAAAAGTCACTGTTCATAATTAAACATTCATAAGGAAAAGCAACAGCATAAAACCATGATGTGACATCTCTCTAAAACAACTAAAGACTGGATAAAGTAAAACCCAGTAAGAGGGACACATTGAAATAAATATTCACATTAATCATGGGGTGAAAGTCCAAGGTTAAAATGCAATACTAGGCTTAGCACCTTTCTGAGGGGAAAGTAGCTGACATGATCTTGAAACAAAATTTTGCAAAGGAATCAACCCTTTAGCATTTTCAGATAAACATCTGACGAGGTGCTTTAGTTAAAGCTCTCAGTCATTATGAAGGTAGAAAGGCACTCAAAATACTTGGTATACAAAATCCTCATCTGTCAGCTATGGCAAGTCAAATGTAGATTTGTCTAGTTTTGCCTATAATATATTAAATTTACAATATTTATCTGTGGCAGTTAAAAAAATTCTCCACGCCATACCAAAATGTTTGGTAGAACAAACAGATGTACTACTAAGGCTGCTGTGAAAATGAATGGTATTTATCAGCTGAGCTAGAGTCTATATTCTGCAGAGCTCATCTCCTCCCTCCTCAAAAATGCTTTTATGACATAAAAGGTGGCCATAACTACGTGTTCAGTAAATCTACCAGCCTGAGCAGGCTGACAGGGAGAAGGTTCCTAGGAGGCGGGTACAGGTGATGTGGTCAGGAGACACTACAGAGACAGTCTTTAAATAGCGCGGAGGTGAGCTGTCTGGTGCAAAGGGAACAGCGGCATACCTTCCCCCTTGAATCGCCTAACAGAGGCCTGACTTTTCCCAAAATCTGGATTAAACTGGATTTTACATTTTTCATGTTTCGTGACCAGGGAGGCGGCAGCCATAGCCTGAGCAAGAGCCGGGGTGGGGGGGGGGGGGGGGGGAAGAAGTCACTTCCACGCCACTGGGGGG